TTGGAGATACTATTGTAACCCTTTCCAACTTCATGCAAGTCAACAATTCTTGATCGTAGGTCTTCTGAGAGCTCTTTTCTGCGAGGCATGCTTCACATCAGACTGTGCTTCTTGAAACCAGTAAACCCAAAACAGGTGTGTGTTTTTTAATGGAAGGACAGCTGTCAGCAACACATCCAATATCATCACACTAATTGGAGTCAAGGTTGGCTCACTCCTGGCTCCAATTAGCTCTGGGAGAAGTCATTAAGCTAGGGCCTCGCATACTTTTTCCTCCCTGCACTGTGAATGTTTACATGTTATGTGCAATTAAACCATGGCAACATCTAATGTTTGTGTAGTATTATCTTCAGCAGACTGTGTTCTTCTATTGTTGTGACTTAGATGATGTCCAGAGCACATTTTATGCCTAATTCATGCAAAACTCCACGTAATCCCAAGGGGTTCACATACTTTTTCTTGCAACTGTATATGGATGAGTTCCAGGGTCACTGGTCATCCGCGAAGCCGAGCAACAATAACATATGGAAAAAGTTCAATCAGTTTTGCTAGAGGTAAATCCCTTCAAAAAAGGGCAAAAGGATACTGCTTCATTCAAACCCGGGGGTGTCATGGCCTGCATTCTATATATCCATTTCTGTTCTAACTGGAGGAGATTTTTGTTCCAATCCCCACCTCGATCAGGGATGTGAATGTGGTCCAAGGCAAGAAATTTCACAAGAGGAACTCTGTGATCATGGACTAATACTGCATGTCTTTCAATCGGGAGATATTGATTACCTATTTGCATGCTATAAACTTGTTTGTAAATGCGACGCCAAAATTCTTGCTTGGTTTTACCAATATAGAATGCACCGCATTCACAAGACATGAGGTAGACAACTCCTCTAGTCTGACAAGTGGCAAAATGTTTACGGGTATGGCAGATGCTATTAGGTAACAAAGTAACCTTCACCTTATCAATTAAAGGGCAGTATGGACAGTTCCGACAAGGATATGTTCCAGAGTCCACAGAATGTTTATCTCTAGGTTTCTCCTTATACTCACTATGGACAAGTTTGTCCCCTAGTGAGCTAACGTTTCTAAAAGTGATAGATGGGGCAGTGCTAACAAATTGTTTTACCAAGTCATTGTCCCTTAAAAATTGACCAATGACATTGTAAAATTTGTCTGATTTGTGTATGTTGATTAGAATATTTCAACACTATCCGAGTGGGTTCTGCCACCATGTTGACCTTCTTTTTTTGGTAGAGAAGGTTAAAACGTGATTGTCGACAAGTGCGGTTATATGCTTTGCATAGACAGATTTTGCTATAGCCTCTATCGAGCAATCACTCTCTTAGGTTATTAGCTGCCTCTTGGAAACAAGATTCAGCTGAATAATTGCACTTAAGCATCAGATACTGACTATATGGTATAGAGTTCTTGAGTGGTTGGGGTGAAAGCTGGATGCATGTAATATGGTATTTCCTGCTGTATCTTTCCTATATAGTCCACTTGATAAGTGGCCATCACTGTCCTTGTATACACGTACATCCAAAAAGGTCACCGTTTCCCTATTATAAGACATAGTGAATTTAAGGTTATAGTTAGAGATGAGCGAATCGAACATGACGAAGTGGAATTCGTTCCGAAGATTTGGAAAAATTCTATTCGCGACGAATCCGAAGATTAGCAAACTTCGGATGCACGAATCGAATTTTCCCAAAAATGGCGGCGACATGTGTGGCGACGGAGAAAATGGACAGAGAAGATGGGGCGGGGATCTCTGGGAAGGCGCGCAGACAAGGCGCGCTGACCCATAATGCATTCATGACATGTGATCGCATTAGCCAATCAGCAGCCAGCCAGCACTGTGTAATGGTGGAGCTATAAATCGCGGCCATCTTAGAATTCTCCATTAGCCTCCGGTCATTCAAGAGAGACAGACCTGTGTGTATTAAGGGACAGAGTTAGGGCCACAGAGACTTTAGGGCCACAGAATCGTTACTCAGGGACACAGAATCGTTACTCAGGGAAACAGAATCGTTACTCAGGGACACAGAATCGTTACTCAGGGACACAGAATCGTTACTCAGGGACACAGAATCGTTACTTAGGGCCACAGCTATCAAAGAATCGAAAATTTAAAGTGACATACACCCTTTTTTTTTTGGTGGCTGTCGTGCACAGTTGGTGCTGCAGTTTGCCGATTGTGCAAAATAAACTGACTTTCTGCTTCACAACCACTATTGTACGTTCAAAGAGTTAAATCCATTTACACGCCGGCTGGCGGTAATATTTTTTGGGTGATTAGTGCATTCCAGTGACATAAACGTACAGTTTCCAGCCAACGGCAAGCTGCAATTGACCGATTGGGCTAAATAAACTGACTTTCTGCTTCACAACCACTATTGTACGTTCAAAGAGTTAAATCCATTTACACGCCGGCTGGCGGTAATATTTTTTGGGTGATTAGTGCATTCCAGTGACAGAAACGTACAGTTTCCAGCCAACGGCAAGCTGCAATTGACCGACTGTGTACAATAAACTGACTTTCTGCTTCACAACCACTATTGTACGTTCAAAGAGTTAAATCCATTTACACGCCGGCTGGCGGTAATATTTTTTGGGTGATTAGTGCATTCCAGTGACAGAAACGTACAGTTTACAGCCAACGGCAAGCTGCAATTGACCGATTGTGTACAATAAACTGACTTTCTGCTTCACAACCACTATTGTACGTTCAAAGAGTTAAATCCATTTACACGCCGGCTGGCGGTAATATTTTTTGGGTGATTAGTGCATTCCAGTGACCTAAACGTACAGTTTTCCAGCCAACGGCAAGCTGCAATTGACCGATTGTGTACAATAAACTGACTTTCTGCTTCACAACCACTATTGTACGTTCAAAGAGTTAAATCCATATACACGCCGGGTGGCGGTAATATTTTTTGGGTGATTAGTGCATTCCAGTGACATAAACGTACAGTTTACAGCCAACGTTCAAAGAGTTAAATCCGGTTTTAAATCCGGTTTTATTTTTGGGGTGCTTATTGAATTAAAGAGTATGTCAGACAACACGCAGAGGAGTGGCAGAGGAGGCAATGTTTCAGGAGCGAGCAGACGTGGCAGCAGAGCAGAGCTCATGCTGCTGCCAGGTCCAGAGTGTGTCATGGGTCCCTGTACAGCCTCCCATTGCTGCTGTCTCCATCGCCACACTCTGCCATGTGCCACTTTCAGGTCTCCTCACACTGCTGGTGGGTTCCATTTTGTCATAGGGTGCTGTATGGCCTCCCATTGCTACTGCCTCCACCGCCACACTGTGGCTCCACACTCTGGTTTTGGCCCCGTGACTGCCCAAATGAGTGAAGTGTGCGGTGATTCTAAGATCGACGGCACTCATCTGCATGTCATACTGACTGACAGTATTATTTCTCTTCCCCAGCAAACTCCAAGGGCATTTAAATTAAAGGTACAGTGTTCTGCACTAATATAAAGGCTCTCTGAAGCCTAGAAACACCCTTTTTTTATAAGTTAAATTCGCAGCGAATATATTCGGCTCGAAGCGAATTTATTCGGCGAATTCGGTGAATCAGCCGCACCGAATTTTTGAGTAATTCGCTCATCTCTAGTTATAGTCATTGACATTCATTTTGTCAAAACATTCCAAAAGCATTTGCTCCGACCCCTCCCAGATGAGAAAAACATTGTCAATTTACCTGTGTCACATGGATATGTGGCGGAAGTACATTGCGAGGCTCTCATCTGAGAGGAACTACTGCTTTCACTCCCCCAGGTACAGATTGGTGTAGGATGGGGCACAACAAGTCCCCATGGCCACACCCTGCACCTGGAGGAAGTGGGAGCCATTGAACGAAAAATAATTGTGATGAAGAATGTAGTCTAGCCCTGCCAATACAAAATAATTCATAGACCAGTCTTGAAAGGGTCATTGGGAAAGAGTGCGTCTTATGGCTGCTAAACCCCGATCATGGGAAACGGAGCTGTATAAGGCCTCGATATCAATGGTAACTAACAAGGCTCTTTGGGAACAGTAGAGTCCTCGATAATTTGTATAAAGTGGATGGTATCCTTAACAAAAGAGGGTAATGATGATACATGAGGTTGTAGGTATGAGTCTATAACACAACTCAAATGTTCAGTTAGACCATGTTGTCCATAATAACTATGTTACCACCTTTATCAGATGGTTTAATTGTAATGCTGTTATTTTTCTGTAGGGCGCGTAGCATTTCTTGTTCCATAGATGACAAATTGTCACTGTAAATCTGATTATAGGAGAGTTTCTTGATGTCTTTTAATGTTTGTTTAAGGAATATAGCATTGCTAGGATAATTGCTCAAAGGTGGAAACTTAGAGGACAGCTTTTTAAATTGAGTCAAGGAATCGAATGGTGATTGGTCTGATTCCCACAATAGTGAGTCCAGAACGAGTTGATCAATAAGATATGTTTTTGTAAGTCAAAAATTTTTTTGGGTTATGTGATAAAATCTTTTTGATTATTTGTTTATTTTTTGGTATACTCATTTATGATTGTTTATATATTCACTAGAAAGCCCTATGTTTCTCATACCCCCTGAGGAAGATCTAGAATGTGGAATGATTGAAACGAGTGGGAGTATTTTCTGTCTTTTCTGTGTGGTTTCATGTTTTTGTATTAACAGTTCTCTTGTAAGAACACTGTCAGAGCAATATTCTTTTTATAAACTATCTATTTAATATTACATTGGAAACGTGTATGTAATCAAATTGGTAAAAAGCTCTTTTAACAAAATGTCTCTTTCAATATACTGCATTTTTAACTCCGTAGAAGCACTTTTTCCCCCAAAAAAAGGGGGGCAAAATGTCTGTGCGACTTATGGAGCGACTGTGGAGCGGGCAGCCCGGTATTCCCACCACTGCTGTGTTAAAATACCGGGCCGGCCGCTTGGCTCTTCTGTGCAGCAGAACCTGCTTCTCGGTCCTACCTGTTCCTCGGCCCAGCGGAGTCCTCACCGTCTTCTCTCCCTTGTGCCAGCATCTTTAGTGTGGGCACCCAGCTATGACAACTTGCGGCTTCATGCGCGAGAAGTGCTGCACTTTGTGAATGGTCTTTTGGGACCTGTCACGTGTCCCAGAAGATGGGGAGGAAGGACAAATCTGCGGAAGTGGGAGCGGGTACCTGTCAAATTCGGGTACCTGCTCCACCCCTTCTGCTCTCCAAAGGTCTGCAGTCTCTGGTCATCTCCTGTACTATGTCCGCAGTCTGTGGTCATCTCCTGTACTGTGTCCGCAGTCTGTGGTCATCTCCTGTACCGTGTCCGCAGTCTGTGGTCATCTCATGTACAATGTCCGCAGTCTGTGGTCATCTCCTGTAGTATGTCCGCAGTCTGTGGTCATCTCCTGTACTGTGTCCACAGTCTCTGGTCATCTCCTGTACCGTGTCCGCAGTCTGTGGTCATCTCATGTACTATGTCTGTCTCTCTGGTCTCTCCTGTACTATGTCCGCAGTCTCCTGTCATCTCCTGTACTATGTCCGCAGTCTCTGGTCATCCCCTGTACTATGTCCGCAGTCTCTAGTCATCCCCTGTACTATGTCCGCAGTCTGTGGTCATCTCATGTACTATGTCTGTTGTCTCTGGTCATCTCCTGTACTATGTCCGCAGTCTCTGGTCATCTCCTGTACTATGTCCGCAGTCTCTGGTCATCCCCTGTACTATGTCCGCAGTCTCTAGTCATCCCCTGTACTATGTCCGCAGTCTCTGGTCATCCCCTGTACTATATCCGCAGTCTCTGGTTATCTCCTGTACTATGTCTGCAGTCTCTGGGCATCCCCTGTACTGTGTCTGCAGTCTCTGGTCATTTCCTGTACTATGTCCGCAGTCTCTGGTCATCTCTTGTAGTATGTTTGCAGTCTCTGGTCATCTCCTGTACTATGTCCGCAGTCTCTGGTTATTTCCTGTACTGTATCCGCAGTCTCTGGTCATCTCCTGTACTATGTCCGCAGTCTCTGGTCATCTCCTGTACTATGTCCGCAGTCTCTGGTCATCTCCTGTACTGTGTCCGCAGTCTCTGGTCATCTCCTGTAGCACTTCCGAAGTCTCTTGTCATCTCCTGTAGTATGTCTGCAGTATCTGGTCATTTCCTGTACTATGTCCACAGTCTCTGGTCATCTCCTGTACTATGTCCACAGTCTCTGGTCATCTCCTGTACTATGTCCGCAGTCTCTGGTCATCTCCTGTACTATGTCCGCAGTCTCTGGTCATTTCCTGTACTATGTCTGCAGTCCATTGGTTCAGAATATTTTTTTTCTTGTTTTCCTCCTCTAAAACTTAGGTACGTCTTATGGTCAGGTGCGTCTTATGGAGCAAAAAATACGGTATGTATGATCCTATTGCTGCATTAAAGTCGCACTGGGGGTTCTTTGGGTAGAAGAAAGTAGCCATTATCTCAGACTTTTTGCATTTGGTGCCCCAGCATACCTGAATAGAAAAAGATCTTGTGGGTGAAGTCCATATTTGGCAGATCTAGAGTGGCAATGTCCATCAAAATGGTGTTTCAGTGAATCAGCATTCTTGGGGTGGGACCACAGGTCACTGCAACCTTCTTGCATAGTTCCCATTTTCTTTCACCATCAGGGACTCAAACCACACCCCTTTTATAATGCTCAGGGAACAGAGAGGCCAGATCCCATAGAGCCTGGGACCTTGCCCAGAAAAGGCAACAAAAACATTAACTCCTTCTGCCTGCTTAGAAAGCTGAGCTGCTAATTGACAGTAGACAACCTGCCTACAGGTCTTATAGCAGAAATGAAAGAAAACAGTTCTATTGTATAATTTTCATTTTTTTTTCTTTATATAGTAAAAAATAAATCACCCAGTGGATATTAATTGCCACCAAAAGAAAACATAATCTGTCTAGTAGTGACCAAGTGATTTTCAATTTAACTATCACAGCACTGAAAACTGTAATGTGGTCCAGTAATAAAGGGGTATAAACAGGTTAGGACTCAAGTAGTTATATCTGTTCTTAAATGTGCACAATTTAGCTTCTTCCCACATACCTTGCATATGATAATGAATCATCTGGCAAAGTAGATTAAAAACTGCCAGAGAGACCTATATTCATGTGTAATTAACAATGCCTTTTCAAAATCCTTACTGAACAATGTATTGTAAAAATGCATTGGAATGCACAGGGATAGCAAAGGGGAGGATTCAAATTCCTGTCAGTATTTTTTATGCCATTTTATTTCCTATTGGTGAGATTTTGATTTCCTGTCCTATAAACACAGCAGGAAGTGAGAGGAAATATCTACAAAGTGTGGGAAATGTCATCATATTTTTTTCTGTCTGTGTCCCTATTGCAACTTTCTTATCACTTCCTGTCTGGTAAAATTGTTGTTAGCTGGACAGAAAGTAAAGGTAAAATTCTCTAACAGAGCCCTCTGATTGGGGTTCTAATTTTTACCTGCTCTATGAAAAGCAGAATTGCTCAACTGGAGTTCTATGAAACCCTAGGGTTCCTCCAGAGGTTGCTAGGAGTTCCTTGAGCAGTGAGCAATTTCTGCCTCTCAGATAAGTTCCCACTGGCACCATTGATCTTTTTAGCGATCTGTAGGGGGGAAATTTTTCCCAATGACCACAAGTGCAAAGAGCATTTTTCCCACTGACCATCACACTAATGTACCAAGAGTTGTAGATACAGGAATTTTTAGCAGGAGTTCCCTAAGACCAGAAAGTTATTTCAAGGGTTCCTCTGTGATGAAAAGGTTGAGAAATGTTGATCTAACGTGTTTTTATTACACTTCTATACTTACCTGCTCTGTGCAATGCTTTTGCACAGAGCAGCCCTGATGCTCTTCTTCTGGGGTCCCTTGCTAGCACTCCAGGCCCTTTTTCTTCGGTGTTTGCCTCCACAGCCATTTTCCCTCGGGGCACCCGTGTGTGCTTGCTCCTGAGCCATCCTGTCTGCGTCCATTGACACAGAGTGGGCAGCTCAGCCCCATCCCCACTGCTATGTCACAGCATTTGATTGACAACAACAGGAGCCAACAGCTCTTACCGCAATCAAGCTGCCCAACAAGGAGGGAGACAGTGGCTAGAGCCACTGCTCCTGTGCACATCGCTGGATTGGATCAGGCTCAGGTTAGAAAAAGGGGGAGCTGGGGGTATAGCTGCAGTACAGAAGGTTTTTCACTTAACCACTTGCCCTCCAGAGGATTTACCCCCCTTGCTGACTGGTCATGCAATGCTGCACCCAAATGAAATTCATGTCCTTATTTTCCCACAAACATTATTTTTGCCTTTTTGCTATTAAACATTAGAGATGAGCGAAGTATTCAAAAATTCGATTCGACTGATTCGGCGAATTCGTGGACAATATTCGATTCGAGTCGAATATATTCGCTGTGAATTTAACTTAAAAAAGGGTGTTTCTAGGCTTCAGAGAGACTTAATATTAGTGCAGAACACTGTACCTTTAATTTAAATGCCCTTGGAGTCTGCTGGGGAAGAGAAATAATACTGTCAGTCAGTATGACATGCAGATGAGTGCCGTCGATCTTAGAATCACCGCACACTTCACTCATTTGGCCAGTCACGGGGCCAAAACCAGTGTTTGGAGCCACAGTGTGGCGGTGGAGGCAGCAGCAATGGGAGGCCATACAGCAACCTATGACAAAATGGAAACCAGCAGGAGTGTGAGGAGACCTCAAAGTGGCACATGGCAGAGTGGGAGCAATGGGAGGCGGTACAGGGACCCATGTCACACTGTGGACCCAGCAGCAGCGTGACGAGGCGGTACGGGGGCCCATGGCAGATTTGGGGCCTGGCAGCACCTATGGGAGGCCTGTAATCTGCCAGCAACCTATGACAAAATGGAAACCAGCAGGAGTGTGAGGAGACCTGAAAGTGGCACATGGCAGAGTGGGAGCAATGGGAGGCGGTACAGGGACCCATGTCACACTGTGGACCCAGCAGCAGCGTGACCAGGCGGTACGAGGGCCCATGGCAGATTACAGGCCTGGCAGCAGCAATGGGAGGTCCGTAATCTGTCAGCACCCTATGACAAAAAATGGAACACACCAGCAGTGTGTGAGGAGACCTGAAAGTGGCACATGGCAGAGTGTGGCGATGGAGACAGCAGCAATGGGAGGCCGTACAGGGACCCATGAGAGACTCTGGACCTGGCAGCAGCATGAGGAGGCTGGTATAGGGGCCCATGGCAGATTAGGGGCCTGGCAGCAGCTATAGGAGGCCCGTAATCTGCCAGCACCCTATGACAAAAAAATTCAACACACCAGCAGTGTGTGAGGAGACCTGAAAGTGGCACATGGCAGAGTGTGGCGATGGAGACAGCAGCAATGGGAGGCCGTACAGGGACCCATGACAGACTCTGGACCTGGCAGCAGCATGAGGAGGCGGTACTGGGGCCCATGGCAGATTAGGGGCCTGGCAGCAGCAATGGGAGGCCCGTAATCTGCCAGCACCCTATGACAAAAAATGGAACACACCAGCAGTGTGAGGAGACCTGAAAGTGGCACATGGCAGAGTGTGGCGATGGAGACAGCAGCAATGGGAGGCCGTACAGGGACCCATGAGAGACTCTGGACCTGGCAGCAGCATGAGGAGGCGGTATATAGGGGCTCATGGCAGATTAGGGGCCTGGCAGCAGCTATGGGAGGCCCGTAATCTGCCAGCACCCTATGTCAAAAAATTCAACACACCAGCAGTGTGTGAGGAGACCTGAAAGTGGCACATGGCAGAGTGTGGCGATGGAGACAGCAGCAATGGGAGGCCGTACAGGGACCCATGACAGACTCTGGACCTGGCAGCAGCATGAGGAGGCGGTATATAGGGGCCCATGGCAGATTAGGGGCCTGGCAGCAGCTATGGGAGGCCCGTAATCTGCCAGCACCCTATGTCAAAAAATTCAATACACCCAGCAGTGTGTGAGGAGACCTGAAAGTGGCACATGGCAGAGTGTGGCGATGGAGACAGCAGCAATGGGAGGCCGTACAGGGACCCATGACAGACTCTGGACCTGGCAGCAGCATGAGGAGGCGGTATATAGGGGCCTGAAAGGTTGTCCATAGCCCCTGGCTATCAGTCTTTATAGTCGGTTTCAGGTACGGACGCGTCGGGGAGATTGACTTCATCTCAGAAGAGACAACAGACATACACACAGTGATAGGTAAAATCAATCTCTCAAGTTTATTAGCGGGAAGAAAATTAATATAACAGAAAAAAGAAAGGTGGGGGGGGGGGGGGGCACAGAGTATCAAAAAGCTGAGTTGTCAGTAATTGATTGGCTGAATACAAAAAGACAACATTGACGTCAATTCTGAAAAGTGATGAGAAGCGGAGTTTCATTTTCCCAACAATAAAGAAAGTTTCTACATTGTTTTAAAACACTTATCTACTACATACAATAGAATCTCGCTAGATACTTGTCAAGGCTGTGAACATGACTTTCTCAGGCCTTGAAATCAGTTACAAGTATCCAACAATTATTTTCCCATAGGACAGAAGTATTTGACTTTTAATTATATCATAACAGAAACAGGTGCTGTTAGTATAAAGAAATAATTGGATACTATCTCCTCTACCAAGGCTAAGCTAGAAGAAGAATATTTTCA